TATGAAAACATTTTTGATTTCAGCTTCACAGGTTTCGACCCTAAGTTTGTCGCCTTTGTTGCCGCTCTGTAGACAATTTCCTTTTTACGGGCTGTTTGTGTACTTCATCTTATGCAAATACGAAGTTTTTGTAGCTGGAGTTTTTTCAGGTTATGATAAGTTATTCTTTCAAGTATTTTTTTGTCCAACAAAAAGGGTATTCTAAAAAGTTCGCCACTGTGTTTGAAATTTTTAGAATACCCAGAAATTCTCAATCCTGTGGTTGGGTGCTGTGCGTGTAATCACAGGAGATACAAATGTAGGATCAGTCCAACACCTGATTTCTTGGATTACAACAAGGATTGAGTGTAAGTTAATTTAAAATCTCTAATTATTTATACATGTTTTGTTATTTATACTCAAAGTTGATCTCGAAGACTATAAGATAATTACTGTAATTTAGTATTGAAAACGTTTGTGAAAGAAGGACTTTTGACCAACTTATTGCTCTGAATGTTCAATTATTATGATGTTCCCGGGTTGCCCCGTTTCTATCCTTAATCTGGGTAAATTTTGGTTTTACCCGGATTACGGATTTTTGCACCTTTTGTCAGTTTTTTTTGACACTATGCAAAGTGAAGATTTCTCCCGCCTGTCAAGGCGCTTGCATGATTGTCAAAGTTATTTAATGCATTGACAGTTCTCAGACATCATAAATTAGGAATGACATTTGCCAAAATAGTTGAATTTTTTATCTTTAGAATTTACTAACAAGGAAACTTCCGTTTCCCTACACAAATCTTGCGTCTAATTGCTACTATTCGAATGCTTTTAATTTCCGAGATGTGGCGTGTATTGTCATTCAAAATGTTATCAAAGAGCTTAGATATAAAAACTTCCAAAATTAAAGTTCCCATCTCAATAGTGAGGCTGAGTTCAGGTTTTCTGTTCTCAAGGGTTTCGAATCATGCCTCCAATTGTGACTGCTCAAATCTTCGTAGTTTTCGAGATATGACGTTTTTATGATTTTTCTAAAATTTTCAGAAAACTTAGATTTTTTTAAATTGCATTTTTATCTAGTGAGGTTTTTATTTATAATTTTGTAAAGTGGGTTGTGTTCCATTTTATATAATTTTTACCAGAACTGAAACTTCACAAATTTGTATATTTACCGTGTCTGATTTTGAGTTTATTTTAAAATATTCAAACTGTTTCAATTTATGTTACTTCAACTTAGTCATTTTAAATTGCGTAGTTTTGAGGGCAAAGTATATCCATTTGGGATTATGTATTTCAGTTTGGGTGATCGTAAAAAATGTTATGTGAAATTTTTTATGACAACATTTTTGTTTTCAGCTTCACAGGTTTCGACTCTAAGTTTGTTGCCGCTCTGTAGACAATTTCCATTTTATTGGCTGTTTGTTTACTTCATCTTTTACAAATATGAAGTTTTTGTAGCTGTAGTTTTTAACTTTTGTTAAGTTATTTTTCAAGTAATTTTTTTCCAACAAAATTTATCAGGTTTTCTTTTGACATCTGTTTTTGTTTCATTCACTGTTTTGTATCGCAATGTGTTTTGTAGCGCAAAAAATTGCTCTTGCTTTAATTTTGAACCTTAACAAACAACTTCAGGTTGCTTCCCGCATGAGTTGGATGTAACGCGGTCACTTTTGCACCCTTGAAACCCGGCAACTACTTTTTTCAGTATATGTGAAATTGAATTTTATTCCCATTTAAAATTGCATTGTGGGACTTTCGTTTGTCTGCTCAATTTTTGCCGGCTTAGGCGCCACATCTCTGATTTATCTTGCGCTGTAGGCAAAATGGTAGTTGCAAGTTTTGTTCATTCTAGTTTCATTTTTTAATGTCTATTAAATCAATGTTGTTTTCGACTCAACTGGTTTGTGCTCAAGATCGTCGGCTTTGTTTCCGATTTGTAAAAGTTTTGTTCAGTTGGTAATTTAAATTTTTTAGTTGCCTTCCGACCGTTTTTTTTGTTGACTTTTCTCGAGAACTCCCCTCCCAATTCTGAGATTTTGGGTTCAATCTAAATAACGGTTTTAAGTTTAAATTTGTTTCGACATGTGTTGTATCGCTAGTGGTGCAAAGCTCCTCTCAGCCTATGATAAAGTTTCTGGTTCTAAAAATTTGTCCGGATAACTGTATTGATGCGTAACTGAGACGGCAAGGCAAATTAATCGGCGCACAGCTAATCTATTATCTATCTATTATATATTTAAATGCGGGCTTCACTATCTCGCCATGTTTAAGCTTTTTCAACGTATTATTTTTGCATGTTTAAGCTGTATCGTATATTGCAATGGTTAAGATTTTTTTTTCGATTTTCCAATTTGATTTTAGTGGTTATTTTATCGAGTTCAAATTAAGCAGCCCAATATCGAAATAGGGATTGCAAATTTGGCCTCCAATTTTGAATGCCCGAATCATTTTAGTTAACGAGATAATCTATTATATATTTAAATGCGGGCTTCACTATCTCGCCATGTTTAAACTTTTTCAACGTATTATTTTTGCATGTTTAAGCTGTATCGTATATTGCAATGGTTAAAATTTTTTTTTTCGATTTTCCAATTTGATTTTAGTGGTTATTTTATCGAGTTCAAATTAAGCAGCCCAATATCGAAATAGGGGTTGCGAATTTGGCCTCCAATTTTGAATGCCCGAATCATTTTAGTTAACGAGACAAGACGATTTTTTCAGAAATTTCAAATAACAAAATAATTTACAAAATTTGAAATTCCCAACTCTGTAGTTGGGTGCTGTCAGATTACTCTGAGTAATAAATCTTGCCTCCAACTATGACTGTTCAAATCCTTGTAGTTTTCGAGATATGACGTTTTTTGTGATTTTCAAAAAATTTTCAGAAAACTTATATTAATTTTTTTTGCAAAATCTGAAATTCCCAACCCTGTAGTTGGGTCCTGTCAGAGTATTCTCAAAGATTGCGAATCTTGCCTCCAAATATGACTGCTCAATTCGTTGCAGTTTTCGAGATATGATGTTTTTGTGATTTTTTCAAAAATTTTCAGAAAACTTAAATTATGATTAGTTTTTAAAAATCTGAAACTCGCAACCCTGTAGTTGGGTCCTGTCAGGGTATTCTCAAAGATTGCGAATCTTGCCTCCAAATATGACTGCTCAATTCGTTGCAGTTTTTGACATATGATGTTTTTGTGATTTTTTCAAAAAATTTTCAGATAACTTGAATTAATTTTTTTCGCAAAATCTGAAATTCCCAACCCTATAGTTGGGTCCTGTCAGAGTATTCTCAAAGATTGCGAATCTTGCCCTCAAATATGACTGCTCAATTCGTTGCAGTTTTCGAGATATGATGTTTTTGTGATTTTTTCAAAAATTTTCAGAAAACTTTAATTATTATTAGTTTTTAAAAATCTGAAACTCGCAATCCTGTAGTTGGGTCCTGTCAGAGTATTCTCAAAGATTGTGAATCTTGCCTCCAAATATGACTGCTCAATTCTTTGTAGTTTTCGAGATATGACGTTTTTTGTGATTTTTTCAAAAAATTTTCAGAAAACTTATATAATTTTTTTTCGCAAAAGCTGAAATTCCCAACCCTATAGTTGGGTCCTCTCAGAGTATTCTCAAAGATTGCGAATCTTGCCCTCAAATATGACTGCTCAATTCTTTGTAGTTTTCGAGATATGACGTTTTTTGTGATTTTTTCAAAAATTTTCAGAAAACTTCAGAAAGCTTAAATCAATTATTTTTCGAAATTTGAAATTTCCAACGCTATAGTTCGGTTTTGTCAGGGTACTCTAAAGAGTTGCAAATCTTGCCACATGCGACTGCTAAACGCGACTGCTCAAATGCTTTTATTTCCGAGGTGTGACGTTTTTTGATTTTTTCAAAATTTCTCGAAGAACATATCTACAAAGAAATTCAAAAAAATTTGAAACTACTAACTTGATGAAGATACAACCTTATTGTCAGCGTACACCTAGGCGTCTCAAATCTTGCCTCTTAATATGAATGCTCAAATCCTTTTAGTTTCCGAGATAAGACGTTTTTTTTTTTTTTTCATTTTTTTTTTTCGGGAAACTTAGGTTTAAAAAAGTTCACAAAATTTTGGATTCCTAACCCTATAGTAGGGTGCTCTCAGGGACTCTCAGTGGTTGCAAATCTGGCCTCCAAATTTCTCCAGAGGCCCATTAAGTTTTCGAGATGACGCTTTTAAAATGGGAATAAAAAAAATTAAAGGTTCGAAATTACACACCCTGTAATTGGGTGCAATCAGAGTACACTAAAAGTTTGCAGATGTTGTTTTCAATATATGCGGTTTTTCATGAGCTGTCGAAAAATTTCGAAGCACCGAAGGTGCGTTAAACGCTAGTTGTTATTTGAAACAAGGCGAACAGTTTGGACTTTTTAATGCGTTGTTAGACGTGAAACATATCATTTTGTACTGTACATAGCGTGTGGGATGGGGTATTTAAAAATCAAACTAATCATTTGGTCAAGCTTGTTCTTGGATGGTTCAGGTTTTGCTGGTGTTTGTGAATTAAAAAGGCAAAAGTTCACCAGCCTTGCTCTTCAAATATAATATAAAAATAATATAAACTGTCTATAAGTCATTTATAGGCTGGGGGGAGGGTATACTAGAAAACAGATTTTGAAAGTTTTGTTTCAGCGTGTCGCATATCGGTAGCCCACTTCGCTGTGTAAGTTCGCTAGATTTAAATTCGTGAAAATAGAGTAAAGGCGCAAATCATGTGACGAAGAGCAATAACTGACTCACATTTAGTGTTAAATGGGCAAAATGCCCGCTTAAGGCAACTTGTGTTGGTGCCTGCCAAACTAATTGTTTCAGTTCAAAACTTGTCCCTTTCTTTCTGATAAGAGAGTTTAAGTTATGGAATTGTAAAGTGGAGTTAAAGGTGCCGGCGAGTAGCGCGTGTGTGGTTTTAAGCTGGGGTGACCGGTAGATAAGACGAAAGCTCATGAACTACAGTTATTTCTACAGGAATCAAGAGTACAATTTAATGATAACACGAAGTACAGCAATTAAGTTTGTCGCTTAATTTTTAAGCTTCCTCTGCTTGTTTTTCAGTAACTGTTTAACCTATCAGAGGACTTGAATTTTATCTTGTCTTTTTTACGTCTTTTCGTCCTAATCTCCTGTAGTCTTATTTACCTAGCATGCATGGTGGGCTCTGGCTATAATTTGAGCACTTTGTTTTTATTTGATTTGGCTTCAATTATTTGCTTTTTACTTTCAACAGAAATTCACTTTTGAAACATAGTCCTTTCACCTCAGTTACTGATTGGGAAAATAACCATGGGTTGAATCAAGATTCAAGCTTCCCAGCCTTAGTTTTAGGAAACACGCTTTCCAATTCTCATATCCCGAAGATTTAACCCCATCCTTTTTTATAGCTTTTAATTTTTTATTCACCTATGGACTGCTAGAATGGCAGCAAAATTGAGTGTATGGACGTTTGCTCAGGTAATAGATTTGATTTTTGTAAACACAGTTAGTTGTTCGAGAAGTTTTTTTTTGGCTTAACCATTTCTAGTCTTCAAAACTAGAAAGAAAATCATAATAATCTCCTAGCAGCAAATTTTGTATTTAGAGATCGAATATTGCGGATGGGGGCTATCGGCTAAAGTTTGAAGACTTTCTGTATGCAGTTAATTGCGTTGTTTTGAATCGATGATTTGTTTTTTGATCTCGTAAAATATTTAATTTTTTCTTTCAGATTTTGTATCTCCAATAGAACAGCACTGGAATGAAGCGTCAGCTCTCAGAGATTCTAGAACAAGGCAACTGTTGGCTCAAACCGTTTCACCTTACTATGGATTCGACAGTGGAACTGCTTCCAACGTTCTGCTTCGGCGCCATAGAAACCGAGTCAACGCCGAGCGACTCTCATCCAGAAATAGTTCCAGACCGTCTTCCGATTTTTTCGAATCTTCAAGGTCCCGAAGTAGAAGTCGCAATGATAGTTCCTCAATATCCAACGATGTTTTCATCGCAGGGTCACGTGATGAGAACAGAGGAGCTTCAGGGACACCCGTTTGTGTGGCTCCACCCGACATTCTTCCCATTTACGAACAAAAACAGCTGTTTGCAGCAGCTGCCATCAATTCAAGAACCACGTCATCATCAAGACCAACCAACATAAGTCCTTCCCTGCATCCGAGCACGAGTAATAACCTAACTTTGACTAACCGGCAACGAAATCCGAACCTGCATGAACTAACGCGTTTGAAAGCCACAAATGCACAGAGAACAACAGTATCTACGAACATCAGTTATAATGTCAATCAAGTTTCTGGTGGAGATCTTACTGCCGGAACCAGTGCGTCGAGTATTAACTCGCTTTTGAGCACAGCTGAAAAATCGCCAGGCTTTACGCGTCGCGACAGCGACAAACCTGTGCGAAGAATCGAATGCAAACCAAATCAAGCAGAATTCTCAGGGCTTAAATCTAGAGGCTTGAAGCCTATTGTGCACCGGACTACGCCAATAGTCGCACGGAAAAATGTACCTTTTGACGGCAGAGTTAATCAACAGAAAATTTCTCTCAGATCTCACCTATCGAACACTGCTTCTAGCGGTCAGCGATCAAGTCCAAGGGAAATCCTCGAACAGAGAGTTACCAGCAGTGGATACAATTTCAGGGCCGTAGTAGGTGCTAAGCCATACCCTGTCATATTTGATTCGGACACGGCATCAACTATTTCGGACGAATTCTTTGTACCATTCAAGATAGGAAATGTGTTTGCGCAACAAAATCGGCCCCAAACTACAACCAAGCGATTTATCAGAAGCCAGGACGTAGTAATTGGAGCTTTGAGTAACGAATGTAGCTTGGAGTTTAGAATTCCGAAGTTTTACTCGAAGGAGATTGCCGACTGGTCAATATCTGCGTCTTATCAGCAGAACAGAAAGTGTTGCGAGTTTACCAGAAAGACCAGGAATGTGGGACGAGTAATCAATTTTGCTTCAGAGAGAATCCTCGAGGGCGTGAAGCACGAAGACCTGGATTCAATTCTGATTTCTCCGAGAAAACTTTATGCAAATGTAAGTTTTACTTCGGTATCTTTAATAAAATGATTGATATATTTGACATGGCTTTCTAAGTTTTCACAGAAAATTTTTCGGAATAAACAATAAGTTTCTTTTCAGATTATCGCTGGTGAACAAGCAAGTGACCTGAAATCAAGGATCTCATTTTCATGTGTTAAACAAGAGCAACTGAATGTGCGAGAACCTCGCAGAATAAAAGAGACAAACTTAGACTTCAGTTCCGAAACAAAAGACGATGTTGTTCCGCCAGAACTGAGCTCTGGGGACATCTTTGTGAGTGATCAAGACATCAAAGACAACAAAATTAGGTGTCAGTTGGCAAAAATTGTCTCGAGCTCAGAAGAGGGTGTGAACAGAAGTGATAGTGACGATGTTTTATTCAACTGCAAAGACCAAGAGTAAGTCTTCAGCTCCAACAACTTTGCACTTGATGCGTTAAAAGTCGATTCCCATTATTTGGATTTTTTTGACTTTTGGTTTTCAGCGCAATTTTTGTGGCTCAGTAAGTTCCATTATTTTTTCTCAAATCATCTTATAAATTTTTTTTATTGTTATATGTAGGGTTATCAGTTGTAAAATTGAATATATAACGAATTATCTTTTTGCGGATGATTTTTTAGCTTCCTGGTTTTGGACCGAAACCCTTCGCTTAACTTCAAGCGTGTTAAGATTTTCGTCGTATAGAAGTGAGTTTATTTGCTTATGTTGCGGTGTATATAGGAGATATGAGCATTGCAAGGTCTTTATTGCTCATATTTTTTTATAACTTCTTTTCTTTCTGATTAATTTTCAGTTGGTTTTCCGGCTTTTTTCGAACCTCATCAATCAATTCTCAAAAAAAATTTCTAGTGTCGAGAAACACCAGTTTTAAATTTTTGATTACATACCGGTAAAAAAATTACATGCCATCGTCATTTTTAATTACATACCTGTAAAAAGTTACATGTAAAAGAATTACTTGAATCATTTTGTCTCAACAGTCATATTCGAGTCAATACACTTTCTATTCGAAAATGTTTTTTGTTGGTTATAAATTTACCAACTCCGATTTGGCCTATTTCAGTTTTTCATTTTTGCTTTATTAAGAGTCTATTAAAGTTGCTCAAACTCTTATTTGGGTGCTGATGATTTTTTAAAGGAAAGCCTTGAATTTTGTTCAGGCTCAAATTAGTTTTTTTTTCGTTTTTTGATTGATGATTTTTTGAGTTGAGTCTATTTTCTTTGTTAAAAGGAAAGCAAACTCCACTGTCAGACAGCAAAAGCGTAAAGATCACAAAAATTGGGTTAATTTAATCAAAAAAGTGTCAATCATAAACAGTTCTAGAAAAATTCAATGAGCTTTAGGGCATCTATTTTTTTCAGAAATTCAGTTCGCTATGTTTAAGAGACCATGAACGTAGTTCAGACTCGTATATAATCGCGTTGGTTTTTTTCAGGAAAAGTCTTACAGTTTCTCGCGGTTTGACTTCTGAGTTCTTTTTGAATTCAAATCATTTTCTATCGAACAGTGAAATTGTAAAGATCACGAAAAACCTGATCGACTTTTAGTTTCGAGTGTAATTTATTTTGATTATTGGGTTAATTATTGAGTGCAATTATTGGGTTATTTTATATTAAAAAAAGAAGTTCCACAAATTCAACGAGCATTCAGGCCATCAATTTTTTCCCATGAATTTCGAAAGTTGAGTTTTTTTCAAAAAAGAAATCCGTATTTTTTTCTGTTTTCTTGCGTTATTTGGCTCGTTTCGAATTCGAACTGTCTGTTGGCTATGTTTCCGCTCATAATATATGGGCTTAGTCGACTCATAAATGTCGTTTGATTGCTATGTTTGTGTAGTATCGCTAAATTTGCCAAAGTGGATTTTATGTTTTTAGCAAGTATTTGCGATTCATCCTGTTAGTATTATTGTTTAACTTTTTCTCGATATTCATTCAGTTTCGTTGTTTTTTCCTTATGCTGCGTTATATTTTTTTCCTGGCCATTGAAAATGGGGAGGAACTTTGTCTTCTGGTGTTTTTTCTTTTTTTTTGTTTCCAAGCAACATCAAGTACCATAAATAATTATCCGAATGTGTCGTGTGATATATCATATCAAATTCTTTTTAGCCGTGATTCGAACGAAACTTAAAATTTTCATAAATTCGTTCCTGTGTCGAGAAAAATAGGTTTCAATTTTTTGAGTTTATAATTATTTTTGAGTGAGTAAAGTGATCGTCTAACGTTTGTTTCATGAGAATTGATCATTTAAGCTAACAAAAACTTAATCTCCTTAAAAAGAAAAAAATATAAAAGAAAATTTTCTCAGAAGATTCATATTTTTTAGAGTTTTGTATAATTTATTGTGCAAAAAATTTTTTTTTAAATCTTTTTTCTGTTTGTTATTCAGGTTTTGAGGAAAACTGTTGTCGATTATGTCTAGCCTAATTTTTACTAACTCTGACTGTTGTTATATTTAGAAAACTATATTATAAGAAGAAGCCTTTTTTTAATGAATATGGTCAGAACATTGTGGTACTTGCACAGCAACCGGGTATCCTTGTCCTTCTTTTTTATGGGTGAATCTAGTTGATATTATGGTTCAAGCGTGAGCTACCAGTTTGGTGTTTTGAATCACGATGTCAGTATGGTAGGATTTGTCGATCGCGTTCTCAAAATGGTTGGATATTTCCCGTTTCTGGAGAACTTTTAGTTTTCTTTTGCTTATGTGTTTTTGCTCAGTTTCGCCTATATTAATTTTTATCAGCGAAGTTTATATATTCAATTGCCAGGGTGATTTGCAGCCAGATGCTTAATCCTGTTTATTTCAGCCATTTATAAGTGTAAATAAATGATATTTATAGCTTTTTTCAGTAACTTCAATTTTTAAGAACTCCTTTTTGCAGTTTTCTTAATTATTTATTCACAATTTCAGCTTCAACGGCGTCCTTGTGATGCAACTTTTCAACTTGATCGGAAGACTCACGGAAGAGATGAAGCAACTAGAGACTGACTGTGTCGAAATGAGGGCAGAATTGACAGAGCTGAAATTGAAGTCAAACCAGGCTTCTCCTGTTTGCCAACGTTGTGTTTCAGCGAAAATAGAGGCTAATATTGACTCTCAAACTATCGATCATCAGTCGTCAGAGCAAAACAGAGCCAAAGGTCGACCATCAGGAGACCACTGTAGTGTTCCTTATGTAAGTTCATTTGAATCTATTCTACTAATTAGACATGGGTACTATAGAACGATTTTGAACGTTAAGTTGAATGCAAGATTAAAGATTCGCTCTAGTTTTAATCTAAGTGAACTGTCAGTTGTCAAGATATCAGGTTTATTGGATAGCCTTTAATCGAGTTCGCTTCACAAGAAGGTTTTGCTTCAAACATATGCCGGGTATGTATTCATAGTTAAATCAAAATTAATCAGTTATTGGGAATCTGTAAAGTTATTTACCCTCAAATTTGATTTTGCAGATTTGCTAAGATCCGTTCACAAATTCAATAGCTAAAGGCAATGGAAATTACGCTCACCATTTGGTGTGAAGAAACGTAAAATTTCTCAGCGGAATAAAAATTACCCATTGATCCAGATTAAGAAATTGGGTTCATTTTGAGAAAAAATGCCAGTCATAAAATCTCATATCATAAAATTGCTGTATCGTGCTATGTTTTTCCCCGAGTCGGGAGTTGAAAATTGTTGAAAATAAGTCAGTGATTTTTTTCACTTTCATTGAGTTCGTCGAGACTTTTCCAACTGTCTGTTGGCTATTTTTATTCTTGCAAACGGCAAAATTTAGTTTAAAGTTTTGTTTGCAGAATTCCTCTTGGCGTTTTAAGTTTTTGCTTGTACTTTTGTCACCTCAGCGTAGAGTTAAAGCGACAAAATGCTTGGAACGACAAAGAATATAGGTTTGAGTCTGACATGGAGACTTAAGTTTTGTTTATCTGCTTATTTTTATAGGTTAAGTTTCCGCAGCTTGGACTTTTTCAGGTTTAAGCATTTTTTTAACTTAAATTGAAAGTCAATAATTCCTGTAAGGGTGCGGGTAATTGAGTGGGAAATAGAATTGCGCTACCTTTTTTCTACGATTAAAAATATTTTTTCTATACGAGTCGATGAGCGTAGTTCAGACTCTTATATAGATGGTGATTATTTTTTCTAAGGAAAAGTCTTAAAATACTCTTATAACTACAGAAGTGTTTTCATAGATATTCATGCGTTTATGAATGCCCGTAGGTTTATGTGCACTTAGAGTTCAATTCAAGTTCATTTGCTAAAAGGCAGGCAAATTTTGCTCTCCAAATACGAAAGAAGAAACGGCGCGAAAAAACGTGATTGATTTCTAAGTTCGAAAGTGGAATCCAATTTTTCAGATTTGCCAGCGGAATAAAAACTTTACCAAAGACTTAAATTGACAATTATAATTTTTTCTTGAAATTCGAAAAGCTTTAAGGCCTTTAGCTTTAGTTTTTCTAAAACGTCTGTTTTTTTTGTTTCTTTGCTTTCACTGACTCCTTTCCATTTGTCTGTTTGCTATGTTATTTTATTTTTATTCCCAAGTATGCAATTGATGGAGAAGTCTCATGCCTTAAATAAGACTGGCTAAATTTTCACAGGTTTTTACATCGCATTTGTTTTAAGTCGATTCATGAGCTGTCATGATTTGAAAATATAATAGACTATAGGTTGATCGTGGTTAATTTTGTATACATTTCTACATAGCATTCTTGCAAAGCAAGTGGTGCGAAGCTCCGCTTCTCCTCAGCGTTGGAAATAAAATGAATCGACAACCTGGATGGTGTTATTGATTGTTTAGATTCCTCTGGACATAATGCGAGAAGTGCAGATACCTATTGCCTTGACCAGAACTGGTGAGTCTAAATGAATACGAACTTCTTCTTGCTTTTTTTGGAAAAAAACTGAACATTTGATTTTTGAATAGTTATCCCTGGAACATGAAAGCCAGCTGTGACACAAATTAATCGATTTGTTTTTGAGGTTAATGAAACTGGTTTTTAACGAATCATCTGATTCTCGATTTAGCAGTGAAAGAGAAACGGAAAAAAACAATTCGAGAAAAAGTGTTTGGACTTGGCCGAGTGACACGTTCGAAACGAAGCGGTAGCCTCAGTCTGTACAACAAGTCTCGCTCTTCCTTTGATGGAGACGAATGCAACGACTTCTCAATTGGCTTGCGACCGTCGCAAGCAGAAACTGCTGAACCTATATACGACATACCTCCATTCGAACACGACGAAGGGTTCAAAACGGAATTCGCAAAGCAACTGCGATCTCGAGACTTGAATGCTCGAAGTTCCGTAGAAGGAAGACTAGAAAGGGACGATCAAATTGGACTGAAGCGTGAAGAAATTAAGCGGATTCAGTCTGAGGGACGAAGGTTATGGCAGGAGTGTAGTCGCCTCAGAGAGGGACGATTTGATGGAAAAAGTGGACAATTTGAAGGTGGTGTCAATGCTACCAAAAGTTCACAAGAGAAGAGCGATTGTATGTTGGAACGGGAAACGATGTCTGGCCTTAGCCAGCAGGTTAGTTGATATTTGGCTCTTTTTACACTTGCGATCAGCTTATTGTGGAGGTTATACGGATGCTCTCAAATTAGAGCTATATCTTGAAGCGCAGTCGTGTTTTTAACGCTGAAAATATGAAAAACTCTGGAATAGTGCTTTTAACGCTGAAATAGATCATAAATGACTCGATCATTTAATTTTTAGATTTTCAGCGGAATAAAAACTTAACCTGTTGGTCCAGTTCTCTCAAGTTGGGTTAATGTTATTAAAGCGCCACTCATAAATCGTTCTAGAAATTCAAAGGGCTTAATTATTTTCTTTGAAAATCGTAAGTTGAGATGTTTTAAACTAAGTTTTTTTTATGTTTACTTGCGTTCAATGCTCTTTCCCGATGTTCGATTGGCTTTGTTTTTTATATGCAAGCAGCATAACAGTATACAATAATATATAGTTTTTTCTGCAGGGTATGGAGTTTGAAAGTAGCAAGAAAAATTTTCTTGATTGGAGCAAAAGAATGGAGAAAAGTGAAGCGTTACTTCTTGACGATGACGTCGATGGACCGCCTCCTCCACCGCCGGTGCGATTCCTGACTCCGCCTCCGAGGAGAGCGACGAAACCACCTGGCAATTTAAATGTCCAAAGCACTGAAGTAGGGAGCAGAGATGCGTATGATAATTGGATGGAATTCAAGAGTACTAAAGCACCAAGACTCAGCCCAGAAAGCGGCTTGGACCTGAAAGTGAGGTTCGATTCAAATATACGTGAGAAGACCTATTTTAAGGACGAAAAACCGAAACTGAGTGCAAATAAACCTGGATCTAAACTCAAATTAAGGTAATTTGAATTTATTTTTATATACAAATGTTAACGTGACAGTGAAAAAGAATTTCTGTAGCTCAAGCTCACAGAAACAAGAATGGGCGTTAATTTTTTCTTTTTGGAGAAATAGATGATTTTCGATTGGTGATTGGCAACTCAAAAGCTTTCTCAAAAGTTGGACGTTTATTCAACATAGGTCGAATCGCGACTTAAAGTGCCTGGCTAAGTCACCAGACATCATGTGACGTTTTTAGGTACCTGCTTTTGCGTAGACAAAAAATACGAATGCGAGCTTCCTTCGCACATTTCAAAAACGTAATAGCTAACTGAGGTCATAATTTATATGTTAAATAAGCAAAACTAAATTCCCGGTGTGTTGTGTTCAGAATGCATAAGCGACTGAGGTATGCAGCTTCGTCCCTGGCGAACAAAGTGAAGCGAAGTAGCAGAGGAACACGTCTGTTGTCCACAGAATCTGGTAAGTGGTATAATCAAAGTATCGGTAGAGTCTAAATTCAAAATCATAGAAATAATCCACAATACTCAGTGATGAAAATCCGCAATGATCATTGTTGAAAAATAGTCAAATAACAGTATAAAATTTTTTTATAGTAAAAGATCAGTGTGACCTTCTTAAATGCTTAGGCGAGTACGAAGACCTCGATTTCTTGGACGAAAAGGTTAGTCGGCTAGCTGAGCAAAGCAACCAACTCTGTCGCAACTTGACTTTCGAGGCACAGTCAGGGCTCCGATTCCAGACATCAGCAGATTTGCAGGAAGATTTGGATGTGCCATTGAGATCCGCAGCCGATGATGATCCGGTAAGGTCATATGGAACAGGAACCAAAAGCACGGAAAATGGATCACCAACTAATGCTCTGTATATTGATCTATCAAAATATGGAGTTGCGCCTGAAAATGAAGCAGAAGTTGAAATGGAATTACTTGAAGGTGAACAAACTGAAGATGATGAATTGGAAGAAGAGGGAAAAGAAAACATTCCATTTCAAGAAATAACAGATCATAAAAAAGGTAAACAGCTGAGAAATACTTTTCATGAGATAAAGCGTTAATTAGGCATGAGATAAAAAAATTAATTGCGTTCTCGAATTGGGCAAATTTCAAAATTGATTGACTCGGAGGTGCGCCTTGCTAAAGTGTCTTTTCAATCGAGTTGATCCAAGTTGTATGGCCTTAGGTACAACGAAACTGGTATGACGCTGATGGGAACGTAAGATGAAGAAAAGCTAGAAATGCAGGAAAGAAGCTAGAGTTGCTGAGTCATTGGTGTATTAACCTAGTTCTAACTCTGTAAACCACTAACTTCTTGTATCATCAATACCGAAGAGAATAAATTTTGTAGAAAACTTGTTTTTATTGGGGACCCGTAGCTATGTATTATTAGTTTCTGTGAACGAAAAAAGTTGTCTTTTAAGTTGTCTTATATGTTCTTGCTCATCTGAAATATAAAATAACGAAGCGATTATCACTTATAGAGGTCCTGATGTTTTTTGTTTTCCTTTTAGGAAAAAGTCGTTTTTAAATTTTGCTCACGCTCCTAATGCTGCATCGTTTCAATGTCGAAAATAGATTTTTTTGCGTGTGTATGCTTCGGGGGAGTCCTAAAAGCTTCGAGCTTCAAATTTTTTTGGCAATCTTTATTGATTTAAGGGCGTCCACGCAAGAGATTTTGATTTAGCTACAGCTAATGTTTCAATACTAATAAAAGTTCGCAATACTCTTTCTCGACCTGTTTTCCTCAAAATGAACTTCATTTGAGACGGATGTATGAAATATTGACTCCTATGTCGGCTTGCGTTCAAATTCGTATGCCAAATAGAAGAGGTTACGTTCTCCTATAACAAAAATGCACATGGTGCGAACAACCGCACTTTTTGTTTCAAAATGAATGTTAGTTAAAGGAGCCTTAATAAAGAGTGATTGTTATGGACTCTCGTAAATTAATGAAGTCTAAAAGAATAGTTTGTTTGTGTCTATGAACGAAAGGAAGACACTCATTTAGATGGTGTGGTTTTTGCTTTTATTCAGGAAAAATTCCTTAAGTTTGTTCTCATTCTAATTTACTGCTAGCTTGAAATTCTCGCCCAATTCTTTTTTTCGCTAATAGATAGGCAAGTTTTTCTCCGAATACGATAGTGCAACGTGACGCAACAAGTTGTGAATGTCTATATTTTCGTACAAGCTTTTAATTTTTAAATTTCGCAGCGGAATAAAAAATGTCTTTTGATCCAGTTTTCTCAAATCAGGTTAGTTTCATGAAAACAGTGTCAATCGAAAAAGATTCTTTTAACTGTGAGAGCTCTCTCATGATTTATTTTTTCAAAAGGCGATAGCGTAGCTCAGACTTTTATAAGGTCGCGGTGATTTCTTTTGTCGTTTTTTTTTGAGGACAAGCCTCAGAGTTTGGTCCGGCCCATATTTAGTTTTTCGCGGTTTGAATTATGAGTTTTTAATTTCTGTTTATTACCTTTGTTAAAAGGAAGGCAAATTCCACTATCGGACAGCAAAAAAAGGTAAAGGTAATGAAAAACTAAGACAAAAATGCACTTGGCTGGTAATTTGTTTCAAAAGTGGTTGTTAATAAAAGCCTTTTAAGTTCGGTTTTTTACGGACACTCGCAAGTTAAAAAGTCCAGAAGAATAGTTGTTAAAGCGTCAATGTAAGAAAGTAAGATCCCATTTAGATGGTGTGCTTTTTCGTTTTTCTTCAGGAAAAATTATTTGAAAGTGTTCTCACTCACTCAATTTTACTGCTCAACGTCAAGTTTCTCAACCAAATTCATTTTTTTTGCTAATAGGTGGACAGTTTTTATCCAAATACGACAGAGCAAAGTGATGCCACAAGTTGTGAATGTGTTTAGTTTCGTATTAGTTTTTGAATTTTAGATTTTTCAGCGGAATAAAAAAGTATTGATCCAGTTTTCTCAAATCAGATTTGTTTCATGAAAAAAGTGTCAATCTTAAAAGTTTCTTGAATTTGTAAAAGTTCTATCATGGTCTATTTTTTCACGGGTTGATGAGCGTAGTTCAGACTCTTATATAAGTCGCAATGATTTCATTTCGTTTTTTTAAATTAACGTCTTAGAAATTGTTCAAGCTCAAAATTATTTAGCGGTTTGACTTATTATTTCTTTGTAACTTCATTTCGTTTTTTTTTGTTATAGGAGGGCAAACTCCACTATCGAACAGCCAAAGTGTAAAGGTCCTGAAAAACGTGATCGAATTCTAGTTTTGAAAGTGGATATTAGTTTTCAGATTTCCTAGCAAAATGAATAAGTTACCAATTGATCCAGTTTTCTTAAATTGGATTAGTTTGATCAAAAAAATAGTGTCAATCATAAATTGTTCAAGAAATTCCGATTTTTGTTTGAATTTTTTTTTCTGCCCAAGCATCGCTGAATGAACATTTCAAAACTAGCTATCCTGTAGTCAAACTAAGTTTTTCACAATTATGTGAAAACTTTTCGAAATTAAAATTTGAAACCGGTATTTCTTGATACATCACTCGACCCATTCCGTCTCTAGTTTATGGTATCTGATTTTTGTAGAAAACATAAAAAGTCAAAACTAAAACACGTCCGAAGATATAGTTCCTCCAAATTTTCAAAGGTCGCAACAATAACTAAATTAAACCCGAAGTAAAAGATCATCATTTTCCAGGTGTCATGAACATTTCGTGCAGTAAAAACTATCTGCAGGGCAATCTTATTGGGATTTTCAATCCTTCAGTCAACCATTTAGTCTTGGATCCAATTATAGATGTTTTCATATATGGTAGTTGAGATCGTCTGCTTATGACTGGCAAAAATTCTGCTTAATCCACTCGAGTAACCGACCAAAAATCATTGTGATGTGGTTTTAAAGCTACCCGATTTTTTTTTGTTTCAGGCTTTTTTCTTCGTTTATCTTGTTTTTACCTCAATTTTTGGGCTCTTTGCCGTTTTTTCTAACACTTGCGAGAGCAAGAGTTTTGAAATTGGGAACTATTTTGTTTCGTAAACGACTTTTTCTTACAAGAAATTGCATTTGCTTCATTATTGAACGCTAACAACTTCCAGGTTGCTGTCCACTTGACCTAACGCGGTTGCTTTTGCATCCTCAAATGGGATTCGAAATGTCTTTGAATTAAATTGAGCAGACTTTCGTTTGTCTGCTCATTTTTTGCCGGCCACATCACGGATTTTGCTGGTGCTGCAAGCAATTTCCATTAGTGTTTCAAGTGCAAGTGTTCAATGTAGTTTCAGGGGAGTTTAATTTTTTTAAGAGCCGATGAACGTAATGTAGTTCAGACTCTGATATAGGTAGTGATGATTTTTTTTGCTGTAAGCAAGTAGCATGGTTGTTGCAAGTGCTGATTATCATAGTTTCCATAGGACTTTTTTGAAGTTTTTTTTTGCTATAAAATCAAAAAGTTTTCGGCTGAACTGGTTTCTACTCAAAGATTGTCGAATTTGTTTCCGCGTTGTAAGTTTTGTTCCGTTGCTAATTTAAACTTCAAATGTTTTGCCTGGCATGTTTGCCTAGGGTTCTTGTCTGATAAAAACAGGTTTTAGGAAAATTTATTGTATTAAATTTTCTTATTTTTATTTTTTGAGACGATTTGGAGTTTTTTTATTGTTGCAAAAAAAATTTTTTTCTAAAAAACTACTCTAATTTTTTAATGAGGGTATCGGTGAAAAGACCGCGTGTTCCCCTATGTGCTTGTATAATCTCCTCGTCTCTTTCTACTGTACCCCACTATACAACCTTCGAAAAAGCCTGTGGGGGCTTTTCGACTCATATTTTCTTTTGATGTTTTTTTCGTTTTCTCAGAAACAATTGGGAAGAAATCATTGGGAAGCTCTCTGCATAATTCAATAAGCCCAATTGTTTTACTACTCAAGTTTTTGCCCCCTGAAAAGTCAATTTGAGATTTTTTAGCATTTTGAAACTAATTGACTTTTCTCGAAAACTACCCGCCCAAATCTGAATATTAGCGTTCAATCGAAATAACAATTTGCGAATTTCTTCTGCATAAGCGGCTGCGCCAAAAATTTTTTACACGAAAAGCTATGATTCTCGGAAAAGTCAAATTTTTTATTTATTGACCGTTTTTTGGAAACTTCTTGACTTTTCTCATATACTACCCTTCCAATTCTTAGATTAAGTGTTCAATCTACCCTGCCAATCGTGTTCAAACTCGCTTTTGGGAATCTTCTCTGCTTAAGTGGCCAAGAACTTCTTTTTTACTAAGTTTTTGAACTAAGTTTCCTGCAGCAGCAGCGACTCCCTAATTTACCGCTCTATAAAGTACCGCTCTATTCAGTCCACTAGATTTACTTGAACGCCTGCCACTGAATCAATTATTAAGCAAGTAGTATCACTAGAAAGAATTGCTGCGATTATAGGACTTCACAGATTAAGAAATAGACTATAATCAGCTACCGACCGTTTTGGAGAAAAGCCGAACTTGCAAGGATTGAGTAAGATAGAAAACAGTCAATTAATGTCAAAGAGCCAAATTTATAATGAGCACAGGTTCCATTAAGATTAGACCGTGCGTGTTTGCATTTTGCAACCATTGTATTTAAAAGGCATCTAAAAGAATGTTTGGCTCATTAAGATTGCTCTTACGCTTTGCTGGTAACGCTCATAAATTGTTTTCTGGTATTTCACCCTTTGCCAATTGCTTATAAATAAAAAAGGGGTGCTTACAGTAAACCGATGTGTCAGTAAATTACCAGATCAGTAAACCGATATACGTAATAATTATATCAATTGCAAAATTAAAGATTTATAGAATAAATTTTCCCTGAGCTAGAGCAATAATTTTAAAACTACGGATTCACGAGAAGAACTATTATTTCATTTTTTGATTCAATTTTTGTTTTGAGGAAAAATTTGTCATTTTGTAAAATTCTCAGTTATTAGAGAATGTAATATCGTAATTGAATCATTAGTTTTCGGTTTACTGACACATTGATTTTCTGACCTCCTAACAAAAAAACTTAATTCTATTCATTTTTTTTTCAGAAGCGTTTTCACTTTGGGTCTAGGCATCAAAGTTAAAGAAAAACTGAAACAGGAACACTCCATTGAATAAATTTTTGATTCGTTTTGGCACCGGAATAACGCGTGAAAGGGATTAATTATCATTTCCCTGTTAACTATCGGTCTATAATATTTAGAAGAAAACCACTTACAAATCCTAATAGTTTGTCAGGAATGCGGTCGGACGAAAGCGTCTGTCAGTTAAAATGATTTTACTATCCAACCTGTATGCTTGTCTAATTCAGTTGGAGCATTGATTGTTTCTAGACTTAATAGACTTTTATATATTATATATATATATATATATATATATATATATATTTTTTTTTTTTCCAGATATAAATGAGTTCAAAAGTGCGAAAGAAGAAGAAGTATAGGCCGACTGGCGACAGCCATGAGCCGGACGAGGTCAAACTGGCCCCTCACTCTTTTGTCATCTGTCGTGGTAAAGTGTCCAAGCCACTAGTCCAACTCATGGAGTCCATGCGCAAAGTCATGCTTCCATACACTGCAGCAAATTTAAAAGCAACCAGAAAAAATGTACTCAAAGATTACGTAGCGATTGCAGGACCCATGCATGTATCACACCTCGTGATGTTTTCTCAAACTAATTTATCACCAGTAATGAAAATTGCCAGGCTGCCCCAAGGCCCCACTGTCTACTTCAGAATCAACAGTTTTAGCACAATTAGCGATGTTTTAACTCACGTAGACGGCGCTAGCTTGGGTGATAAGTTATTCCATTACCAACCATTGGTAGCAGTTAATAATTTTGACTACTCTCAGAATCATCACGTGATTACGTCGACAATGTTCCAAAATATGTTCCCGAAGTTGACTGTAAGCCAGTTAGATCTGAAGCGGATTCGCAGGGTTTTGTTGTTCCATTATGACGCAACAAATGACGTCATCGAGTTCAGACAGTACAGAGTGAGATTGTTAGTGCCCGACATGACAAGGAGTGTGAAAAAATTGACAAGCGGAAGTTCGAAACTTCCAAATTTGAACAGTTACCAGGTATAATATAAAATTATCATTTATTATCCATTGAATCCATACTCTAGATTTTGAAATAAGTACGGGGTGATTTGAAAGGTATTTTTAGTTATCTTCAAGTTATTTTCTGCTGGCCTTTCAGGATATTGCAGACTACGTGACGAAAAGCGGGTTTTCATCGGCTGGTTCTGACATTGAATTGACCCAAGTGGTCGAATCGGCCAACCCCACTAGCGGAGAAGAATCGGCCTCCCAGCTACGTGCGTCACAAATAAATGGAACAGACGTTGAAAACGAACAAGAAAAGAAGAAGAAGAGGTTGAGATCGCGGAAGAAACTGGCGGTCAGACTGATCGAGTTCGGACCTCGAATGCAGTTGAAGTTGTACAAAATAGAACAAGGCATATGCGAGGGAGAAGTCCTGTACCATTCCGTGTATAAAAAGAGTGCAGAGGAAATGGACGATTTGATAGAGAGACATAAACTGAGGCGAAAGAGACCGAAGCATCAGTTTTCGGCTTACAATCCGAATCGACCTCCTCCTCCTGAACACGAAGACTATGCGAGCAATGATAATAGTTATCGTAGAAGGGGAGGACCTTACGGCTACAAATTCAACAAGAAACCTAAACTTTCCTGATTGATTTTTGATTGTTGTAGCTTTTCGAATTGACTCATTCATTGCGCTGGTTTTTTGGATTTAGAATAGGAGTGTGATGTTGAAATAAGCAAAGGGTGAAAATGCATATGAAGTCGAGCCGTTTCTCATTACGGCTTAAAGCCCGTAATAGGGACGAAGTTAGGAGGGAGTGTAGATGTCTCTCAATAATTCGACGCCCTCGCACAGCCGAAGGGTCCTTTCTGCTTTTGTACATTTAGGAACCCTAAAATTGTTCAACATTATTTTCTTCACGAGCGATATACCTGCTTTCTTATTTAACGAACCTTTTAAGTTGTTGTGGGATGCAGAAATCTACTTCAGATGGCTGGTGGTAGTTCATTTTAAGTGCGAATGAACGCAGTGAATGAAGACCCCCTTATATATGTCGTGATTGTTGTTTCTTCGGGAATTTTTTTCATGCTTTGATAATTAAGTTTGATTAATTAAGTTCAATTCGTTTCCTTGGTTGAAAGGAAGGCAAACATCATTATCGAATAGCTAAATCGGTCGGAACAAAAATAAATTTTTATACGAAAGCTTAGTCTCGTGCAAGATGGGAGCGTGTTATTTTACTTCTTGCAAAGTTCAATTCTGCCAATTAACTTGCACATTTTTTGTTCAGTTTCTGTGATCCGCTTTCTACAGTATGCCAATCAACTGGAACTTGTTTAAATAGAGAGATTCCCAGCCTATTGATGCATATTACTATAATTTTTAAAGGTAAAAGAATGAAGTGATTTTCACTCATATAGGTCGTGATGGTTTTTACCTGTTCTTTCCAGAAAAAAAAGACTTATATATGTCGTGATGATAGTTTTTTAGGAAAGAAATCTTTAAATCTTTAGCGCCGGGCATAAACCGTTTTTGAAATTCAAAGAGCTTAAACGATATGTTTTTTTTTTCGAACATTTTCGGTTATTTTTTCCTATTTTCTTTTTGCTACAAGTTTTTCATACCATCTGCAAACTTTTGTTTTGCTAAGCTCGAAACTAAAAAGATGGGAATTACTTTTTGCCTGAAACCTGCGAATTGTTTGCGAAGGTACAGCGATTTGAAAGTAGCCTATTTCGGGGTAAATATTACGCGATATTTACCCGTTTCTAGTCTATTACCCGTTTATATTTACCCGAATCTTACATTTTTCATTAAAGAGGCAATTTATAGCTTTGCTTCTTTAATCGACTTGAAACCAAAAATTTTGAATCTAAAACAGGAACCTCAAGAAGCGATCATAAATCTTCGCTGGAATTTAATATGAAATTAATGGCAAAAATTTGTATCCCTAGTCTGATTTTTTCGCTTGCGAGAGTATGTGTCTTGTTAGCGGGACTTAGCTTTTTTTACCATAAAACAACTTATCTTGCAAATCTGTAAGAAAAAGAGCTTGCCTTTAATGATGCAACTACTCACTTCGATTCGGGGATTTCCAATACGGGCCCGAACACGTTTTTATGTCGCTTTGTAAGTTTTTGTTCATTTATTGGTCTGCGCCTCAAACTTAATGGCTTTAATTTTGTTTATTTTGAATGATTGAGCTACGTCCTCTTGAATGTTGAGCCTATAATTCTATAAGATAAATATTTAAGGAACTTCGAATTTCTTTTATTTGTGATTTTTCGGCTTGCTGCCTTTCGTTTGAACCACTGACTATTTAGTTTCCGAGTATGAATACGCTTTTTGCAAAAGCGTAAGCCAATGCTGTGAACTATAAGAGCATTACATAGCATAGCTTCTTATTGCAATTAGTTTATAAATGTTTCGACTCCTTTTTGAAATAATTTTTAAATTATAAATGTTTCGACTCCTTTTTGAAATAATTTTCAAATTGATTTTTTTGGCATGTTAATTTTGTGAAATTTGACTTCGTTTCTTTGTGCAACTTTGCTGACTTTGCTAATAATTTGTTCATATTTACGTTGCGCTTTTTAAAATGCTATAACTAAGCTTTTTAGACAGTTATAGCCTTGTTAATTTTTTTAAGTTATTTTGAGAAATTTTGTTTCTTTAAAGATTCGATATTCGTACTATTTGGTTTAGAGTTTTAAGTTTTCAAAATTTTTCTTGGCTATTTTTTTCAATTTTTATTTGACCCTTGTTCTTTGCTGTTTTCCACTTTGTTTTCGTTTTGATTCAAAAAAGGCCAATTATTTTCTTTTAGAAATGCGATACTTCGTAGTGATTTTTTGATTTTTCTTATTGTTTTGATCTTTTTGTTCTAGATGGTGTTTTTTTTGTGTTTCAAAATAAATTCAATCAAACGCCTAAAATCAATCACTAAATGCTAGTCTTTACAGTTGCGATAGCAAGTGTGTCATAACCGGGTGTTAGAAGTTTAAGTTTACCCCGTAAACAACTTTTTACACAGCTCAACTGCTAGATTTCATTGGAAAAACTGTAACAGACAGACATAATTGATCATGTTACCATTTTAAATATCCTTCATGTTGGAACTATCCCTTTTGGAACAAATGTGTTTTTACAAAATTTCTTTTGTTTTTTTTTCGGCGTAATAGGTTTGTGCCTATTCAATCGGCTTAGTAGCCTAGCCTCATATTGTGTCGTTCGATGACAAAAAAGATGTTTTTCCCTGTGTACAAAAAATTGTGGTTGGATGTGCTATTTGTAACCGATATTTGTGTCTTGTTTTCATAAGTACTTTTTATAGGTTTTCTTGTTTGCTTCATAGCTCATTAAATATTTTTATGTATCTCAATTTTTGTGCCAAGTGCAATTTCTCGTTCTACTAGTAATGCGTTAATTGTCCGTTTTCCTTGGCGGAGTTTGACCTTCGGAAACGGCCTATGCAATGGTATGTCTGAATAGCTTGACAAAATGCAACATTGAGCTGAGGGCATTCTGAATAACAATCAAGCTATTTAATGGAAGTTTTTATGGTTCTCCATGCCATTCGATCTAGACCGCCTGTGGATATGAGGCGTGTAGTTTTCAGGTCCCGTTTAACGCTATCGGTTCATAGTTTTTACTGCTGGTATTTTCACGGAAACTGAAACACGGTCTGTTGGTTTTAGCGCATGATTATGTTTTCTTCGTTGAACCTGTCCAAAACAATGTAGCCGTGACTTCATTTGTAGATTGACCAGATCAAGAATGCATGTCATTTTAATTACCGCTTTGTAGGAAAGTCTCTCTTAATAAGTGACTCCTGCAGTCCTACGCAGAGCTATCATATCAGCACTCGTTAGAGAGCTGGATTTTGCCTTGTTCTGCACCAGGTTTCAGAGCAGTACATCAGAACTAGCCAGAGGCAAGCTCCTTAAATATGAAATCTTGTAATCAAATCAATGTCTTAATCAAGGACAGTGGCACAATTTGCCGCTTTTTTGTCCGGAAAACTGCTAATCTGACCGATGATGCTCGTATTGTGTCAGTTTCACCAGAAATTAGGCCACCCAGATAGCAGAACTCTTCGACAATGTCTAGGTTTTCAGATTAATTAATCCGTAGAGTGGCGTTCTGGTTTGAGCGATAAGTGGTAGGATTTTGGACGAACATAATTAGTATTATGCTCTAGGTGTTTATCTCAAACCATTTTATTTTTTTTGCGCTCCCATTGATTACAAGAACTGCAGCGTAATGATTTGGCGCCAATTCAGTTTAATCAACAAGCGCATGGAAGTTTTCTTTTTCGTTAGAAATGCAATTTTAGATTGAAATCAAATGCTTTGTCATGTCCAAGTTTTTTTCAAGTATTAAGCTTCTCAATAGACTGTGATATCGGTTCAGCTGATATCACAAGGTCATCTGCATATAGCTTATCTCACTGTACCGTGGAAAGTCAGTCTTTTGTAGCCTTTTCCATTACTATTATGAATAACAATGTGTTAAATGCTACTCCTCGATGCATGCCTTCTTTGATTTCGGAGTAATCACTGCATCCCTGGGGCCGGCGAGCTCTGACGTTTGACTCAGTGTACAGACACATTTTCAGTCATATCAGATTCTCGGGAACTCTCTGTTGCCTCATAGCCCATCGGATCAGTTCCCTGGGAACACGGTTGAAAGCTTTTCGAGATCATCAAATACGTGATGCTAGAGTTTTGACGTTAATGCAACTCCGCCTGGTCTGGTCTGTCTTGTTATTCAGACAGAATTGATGGTCTAAGCTCGGGAAAAGGAGGAGGGTGGACGTCAAAAAGGGCATCTGGTCCGCAAGGAAGTCGGTCTGAAAATGCTCTGTCAAGAGCACCGTCCACAACAACTCCTGGAAAGTCATAGAAGTGATGGCCCTCAGTCCCGTGCGCCCCTTAAATGTGGAGAGGGTGCAAAAAATCTCACGGTTTCAACTACTAATATAACTAATATATGTTCATGGAACGTTGACACAGTAAAATGAAAATGCCTCGAGATATGCGAAACTCAAAAAAAGGAAGATACCGGTGTGCTCTTTACAACGAACTCGTTTCAAATGAAGCGGCACAAGAAGTTCTGGAGACGGCGACCATAGATTTAAGTTTTTGTGGCAAGGAAACTCAGATGGCACAAATGGTGTTGAAATAGCCATCAATGGTGGACTTGTAGAAAATGTATTGGAAATTGTTGGGGTAAATGGACACGTCATTCCCCTAAAACTTGTATAAAAGCATAAATCGTGTAATGTTTATATAACTACACCCCAAAAGCTGGTGAAGATGATTGGGAAAAGGATGATTTTTTTCTATAACAGGCTAGAATATACAACGATCTCTGTACCTGACCAAGAATATACTTACTTGTGTGGTGACTTGAATGAACATCTTGGAAATTTGTGCCAGGAGTTTGAGTGTGAAGTGGACCGATTCTGCCTTGGGACTTAAAGCTTAGAAGGTCAGACTTCTCAATTCCTGCCATTGAGGCATTTCCAAACATTTCTTTAAAAAAAGTTGCGATGGTGATTACTGAACAACTCAGAGTGAAGAAAATTTCACTCAGATTGATTTCATTGTAACACGATCGTCGAAAAGAGAATGCTTAGAAAATTTGAAGGTTATCAACGGCGAAGAAGGTGAAATCTTCAAATTCCCATTTTCCTCCATAAGTCAAATGTAGTTAGAAAAAATCGTGGAAACTAAATCAAGTATAAAGAAGCCATAAGAAAAAAGCTAGAGAAGAGTAAAATCCGGACGAACTGGGAAAACTTTTAATATTTATTTTTCAAGAAGGAAAATACGGAAACTCAGCGAAAAAGAACCAAACATGATGTTGGAACGAAAAATTAGGCGAAGAATTTCTAAACAAAAGATTTTTGTTCAAAAGTGGCAGAGGTCTGGATCTGAAGAAAACCGGGTGGTGTATTGGAGGCAGAATACAGTCGTGAAATATCTAGTTTTTAACGGATTGCTAAGTTGGTTTTTTTGAGAATTATAATTGATTATATTTATCAAAATTAGATTAAAATCGTGATATTTTTCAAGAGATTATTAATCTCTTACAATCCATTATAGTTGATTATTATTCCTAAAGAAAACCCCTTGTAATCGAATATATTCTTTGAAAAAATTATAATTTCTTATTATCAATTTTAATTCATTATAGTTCCTACAGGAAAACCTTTTGTCTATTCTAAGGGATAACAATTCCTGATTTCATCCAGAAAAGTTAAGCCAAACAATGAATTTAAAAAATTAATTACGAACACGTGGTACAATTAACAAGCAAAAGGAATCTAAGTACAAAACGAATCATGGTGAAATGTTTTTCTCAAAAATCTGGTCGCTTGTAATTCACTGGTCCCCTGAGTTCGCATGTATTTTTTCTTTTCTTCTGAAGTTGGTGCAAATAAAGAAGGTGACATAAGAGTTGGTTGCTTTGAGCAGGAGGTTAGTGTAGCTGAAGAAGGGCGCTTCCTAGTTTTATTCAATCGGAAGATCGGGGTCACCTCCTTGAATAGGACTGGGGGAGTCACCTTCTGAAATAGGACGGGGGTCAACTTCTTAAATAGGACGGGGGGTGTCCGCGAGTCATCTCCTAAAGCATCTATCACCTGCACCCTCTACAGGAACCCCTATAAGAATACCCTTTACCTCCCAGTGCCATATTTTTTTCCAAACCTTTCAAACCCGGGTAACTTCCGGTACCTGTGCTTAAATGAAATTTCTCGTTTTGAAACACTATAAAGATCGAGGTACAATTTGGTATAGTTCAAAAATAAACTGGTCGCAAGGGCAACTAAATTTGGTAAATGGTTTTATCAACAGAGCAGAGTTTTTAAAAGTTTTCCGGGGAACACAGTTCAACTCTACCAGTAGAGTAGAACTCAAATCATCTCTTCAATCCCTCATTTACTATCTCTTATGTTTTTTTTTGCGAAAGCCATTTACCACTTTTACTGCCAGTTAAATCAAATCAATAATTTCGCGAGCGATAAATTATTACAATTCAAGATTTGCAATTGTTTAATTATAAGAATACCAATACAAATAATTCGTTTTTTTTATCGTTTTTATATAGACACGACTGCTAGTCTTATATGAGAAATTTTATCCCCGGTAGCTGCCATATTTAATTGGTATATGACTCCTGCTATTTCTAGCAATTTCTCGAGAAACTTTTCGGTTTTTATTGTTCTGACATGTCAGATTCCAAATTTTTTGGTATTCAAAAATTTGTATTTCAAAAGGTAATTTTTACGTTTGTGATTAGCAAGCGTTATCAAATCCGAATATAGATTTCTTTTCGGGTAAACAACTAGTTTAACAAAATCAATTGAAAGATTTATGATGCTATGCAGCTGACATGCTCAATTTCATGAAAATTCAATTTTAACTGATGTGTGGTGTGGGTACCAGTTACAACTAGTCTATGCTATATCTAGAACTCAAGCCATTACATGTATAGTTTCGATGCTAATTTTCTGCTAATTGGTCTTTTCTGCTAATCGGATTTTTTGGTCTAATGGATGTTGACTTAAGCTCTGTCGGTTAAGTTTCCAAATTCTGGAGTACACTTTGCACACGCTATTTATTTATTTGGACGTTGCACATATGTTTTTTTTGGCTAAAATTTTCGTCTGAGTTCCAGCTAATTGGCTGTCGGCTTTATTTCAGTCGCCTTACTTACTGAAATATTTTCCTTTAAATGTCCCGCAGTACATTGAATATCGATGAGACTCTGTCACCAATTTTGAATGCCCATAGTCATCCCCGCTAGGACCTCTTGGAAAAGCTTAAATAAATTTTAACTCAAAAAAAGATCCCGCGTCAAATGTAATCTTGTTCGAAGTTCTGTCTCTTATTTTTGGGCGTCATATTGCTTTCATCGTTTAATTGTTGTATTACAAGCGGCGCAAAGCTCAGCTTCGATTCTGTGAAATTGATTAAAATGAATCATAATCGCATGTAAACATATTATAAAAAAAAATCGATTATAATTTATTATAATCGAATATATTGTTCCTAAAATAATTTAGTATCAAGAGATTTTAATCGATTATAAATTGATTATAATATATTTGGGGCAGTACAACAGTGCCGCAGTACAACAGTGCCGAAAAAAATTTAGTTCAACAGTGCCGAAAATGAAAACTTTGTTCAACAGTACCGAAAATATGAACAAATTAAGTGCGGCAATCAAAAATTAAACGGCAAACGCTTACAATCTTAAGTGGCACTTAAAGATTTTGGGATAGAAAATTGTTTAATTTGCAGTTTATGACATTTTGACGCCGAAATTGGAGTGTTTTTCTTTGATAATTAGCGTCAGTAATTTCTCGCTCTTAAGAAAATGCGTTCAAGTTATTCTGAAATTTTCCCGCCTTTTTCGGCGCTGTTGTACTTCGGCACTGTTGAAAGCCCCCATATATTTTTAACAATTTCAGTAGGGCAGCTACTAAAATCATAGGGTGCCGGACATCAAGCCGACGGGACTTCAAGCCGAATAGTAAAATTAGGGACTTCAAGCCGAATAGTTCTTTATAAACTCGTGAAATATGATTAATTGAAAACTTTTTTGAAAAATTTCTGAATTTCATGAGCTTTCTTCACAAGTTATTGGCGTTTTTATAAAATTTAAGCCTCCAAATGATGTTTCGGAAAGTTGAAAAGTAAAACATGGTAGAAGGCATTTTTCATGTTTATAATTTATGCATTTCAAAAACCGGCTGATGTTATTAATGGATGCCAATCACAAGTGGTGCATCGTCATGAATAACGTTTATTATGGACTAAACTTGCCAAAATTTTTGAAAAATAATGTTTTACAGATGATAAAATAGTGTTTTGAGGTGCTTTTAAAGTTTTAATTTCGGCTAGAAGTCCCTTCGGCTTGAAGTCCCGTCGGCTTGTTGTCCTAGACCCAAAATCATAATATATTTGATTATTAACTCTCGATGCTCAAAAAAATACAACCCCTTATGAGCTAATCAAACACTTCAGGATCCTCAAGTCCTAATGGTGATTAAATTTTTCAGATCAATGTTTTTGACATACACACATGACTGAATTCAAAATTGGGGACCGCGTGTTTGCACGTGTGAGATCATATCCATTTTGGCCTGCTAAAATTGAATATCTGCCAGGCAAAAAGAGAAAACAATACACTGTCATTTTTTATTTCACCCTGCAAAAGGGTTTCATTGACCTCAAATCTTTAGAGCCATTCAATGATGAGACTATCATTAAGTTCAAACCTCTTTGCAAGAACAGAAACTTCTTCCGCGAAGCTTTAGAGGACGCTTTAGTCGACGAGGCGAATGAAGGGATCCACATCAGGTCAGATGAAATTAAGACTCTGCCTCTTTACGAGAAACCACAGTCGAAAAGGAAACAGTACGTAGTACCCTCTGAAACAGCGACTGCAAGACGAAAATCAGCTCCAAGTGGGAAAAGTTCACTAAGTCAAGAAAGCATTGCAAGCAGCGAGGATGCGTCGACGTCATCATCAAGATCTAGTTTACAGATTACACCGAAGTTGGTACGTGCCAACGTAACAGTATGACCAGTTTTGAAACTCAGTTTTTATTCAAATTTGAGGCTCGTGAGGAAACATTTGCGTAGTCACTGGCGATTTGCAATTTCTCCTTTGAAATAGAGGTTTAATGGTACTCTAAAATATGCTTAGAATATTTACACTACCAAAAGCTCGTGTTTTAATACGAGTAATATTTTTTCCAGTCTATCTCAATTTATTGTAATTTCAGTAATCTCTGAAAAATTTTTGTTATTTCAGTATCGCTGTACTGCTCAAATTTTATGCGATGATTTAATAGCATAGCATATATTGCATCTGATTTACTGAGCGCATTTATTGTTAACTAATGTTTAGACTAGCGAGTGTACTGTATTAGTATGACTATACTTTTTTCTAACCTATCTCGCAAATTCAAGTGCTCATCTGCTTGCACTTTTGCTATAAGCACGATCTTTAGCCTAAGAAAATTCACATAATCTGTTCTTTGCTTTACCTGTGGCTAGTGTTTGTCGACCTGTAAGTGACCCTGGCACAGTTGGAAGGACCTGAGACTCCTAATTTACTGGCGGAGTTCAACGACGCACTTAGTAATATTTTTGGTGGCATTTTTGTTTAATGGCATTGGCAATTTATGAGCATCTATAGCTGCATCATTGGTGGTTAGAATTAGCAAGTCATCAAAATACCGTGGCACAGATGCGAGAACGTGAAACTGCAAATTTCGAGGTCGCAGTTTCGAATCCGACACATAGCAAAAGTTGCACTAAAATCGAGGCTTATTTCTATTTTTTATTTCGCTTTATAGAGCTGCTTTTTGTCGTTTTCTTGCTAGTTTTTGCGACGCACAGTTTTGCCTCTGTGTTACCATTGGAGTACCAGAAGATAGCAAGGGGATATAGAGAATTTGTGATAGACTTTGTCCGTATTCTAGAAGTTCGTTTTCCGCTTCTCGTCGGTGACTAATTACTTTTTTTCAAAGTTTATATGATTTCGGATTTATTTTTTCTGCGTTTTTAAGCTCCCTTTTACCAATTTTCTTTGTGTTTGAGAAGTGCAAGGTCGCCTCTCTATTGAGGTTGCTTTGCATGGTCATAGACTCGCGTTGCTTTTTTTCTTCAAGTCTTCATTTCAAGTTTTAACTGGCTATATTTTCAAGTTTTACAAGTCTTCATTTCAAGTGTTTTTTTCTTCAAGTTTTAACTGGCTTTATATTTACCTACTGAAGAAGTTTAAATATTTACCTACTTAAGACGTTTTAACTGGCTATATTTTCAAGTTTTTCAAGTCTTCATTTCAGTTTTTTTTTAAAGTTTTAACTGGCTATATATTTACCTACTGAAGACGTTTATATATTTCGAGTTGATTTTTTCCTTTTTTTTAGGAAAAAGTCATAACATTTGCTTACATAAAATTTGATCTCTCGAGTTTTGACTTTGATTTCTTGAAGTTCAATTCAATTCGTATTTTAAAATGGAAGAAAACTAACTACCCGCTTGCTTCAAACACAAAACGAAAATAGCGCAAAAACGCAAATGATTTCTTTTTTTTTGAAATTGGAATAAAATTTATGGATTCGATTTTCTCGAATTGGGTTAATTTTATCAACAACGTGTCAATCATTCGTGTTCTTGACATTCAAAGAACTTAAAAGCCAAGTATTATTTATTTGAAATCAAAAAATTGAAAAGCATTCAAAAATAAATCAGCGTTGTTTTCTGTTTCCTTGTGTTCATCGTCACTTTTCCAACTGTCTGTCGGCTATGTTTTTGATTGTCGAGTAAAAACCTTTGAAACAGAAAAATGGAAAGTTTATGCTACAAATGTCTTTTTTCTTCGCTCCATTTGGAAGATAGAGAGATAGTAAAAACGGTTTTCGGGTTTGAGATCCTTGCTGCTTATTAATCTGACTATTTCATTTTTTAATGAACTCTCATATAGTGTTAATGAACTCTCATATATCTTCATTAGTCGTATGTCTTCTCAAGTTTATATTTTTTGTTTGCATTCTAATGCATTTGCTTAATGGAAAGCAGTATCCGATTACCCATTGAAATTTGAAAGTTTACCTATTGCTCTTTAATTTTGTCAAAATGGCTAATTTTTTGAAAGTATTGCTCATAGAAGATTACTGGATTTCAATGACCGTAAAAAATAAAAAATTTAAATTAAAAAAATTCGCATAAATATTTTTGTTTCGGTTACCTTGAGTTAGTTAACACCTTTTTAAACTGTTGGTTGACTTTATTTGAAAATAGTTATGCTTGATTGTTCTGATGCAGTTTTTGAAGCCATCTCATGTTTAATGGAAACTGATTCTTAAAAAGTAACTCAGTAATTGTTGTGGAATAGTGCCAATGAATTGGTGTCAAATTTTTCAATTAAATAAGCACTGGTCATACTTGCACGTGCAATGAAGTCTGAAATAAAAAATGAAGACGTTCCTAGTGATGCGACGACGTCAGCGAACTCTCCGGGTACGAAAAACAAGTCTGACCCATCTAAGCTGGAACCCATCATCATGCCAGCTCCTGATGACTTGTTCACGCTTCACTTAGATTTAGTTCGTAGTTTGCATCATAGGAAGCCGAACCATCAGATGGCACTGGAAATTATGAACCGGATGCAGAGATATCTGGACTGGCCTGCGTTAGTGAAAACAGTTCCAGAGATGGTTGAAAACATTTATAAAATTTCAAACTATACCAAGGATAAACAAGTGCAGTTGAAAGCCATTCATTTGTATAATCAGATGAAATGGACTTTGTTTTGTAACCGAGAGATCGATTTTATTGAGAGGGAGTTCCCAGTGTAAGCTTCTCATGCAATTATATAGAAAACTGAAAATTTGTGCTAATTGTTCCTATTGTGTTTTGATTTGTGCTTTGCAGTTGCTTTTATTATAGATCTGTTTATGTATTAGATTTGTTATTTAAGACAATCAAATGTTGAAATTCGAGGTCTGAAAGTAGTGTTGAGAGAGCAAGTTCAATTAGCCGGACTTGATAGCTCCGAGAAAAAAGCGTCAAAGTTCGTTCGCAGATTTTTGTCAATTTCTGTGTTTTTTAATGTAAAAGAACGAAGTGATTTTGACTCATAAAAACCTGAAGTGTTGAAGTTTCCAGCACATTTTGAACTACTGTATTGTACGTGTCATTTGAGTTCAAAAAAGTGCTGAGAACACAAAGTTTTTGTAGTTTTGGTGTTTGAAAGAGTTTTTGAATAGTATGAATGTAATTAAGTAGTTATTGGATTGGAGCATCATCGTTTTTTTTTGAAAAAATCTCAAAAAAAATATGTTTTTTAACTAGGTGACATTTGTCCACGTTGAAGAAGACTTGTATCGGTCTGATTTTTTTATTAGTTTAGGAACGCTGGGAATTTGCTCATAAATGCTTTCTGTTTGCTTTTTTTATTATCCAAGTGTTTGTATTTTTATACAAGTGGTGGGAAATCAAGATTCAACATTCACCAACTTTGAGCTTGGATAGAAAAAATTTTCAGACAAGGAAAGAATTTATTTCTTGCGAGTTTAAAGCAAGTGCATCATGTATTTAGACAATATTCAATAAATTTAACCCCGAGAGGACAGCAAGCGGACCCGATAGGGTCTCAAAACGCTGCCCTAAGTTAGCATAATAATATATTTTAAAATCGCCAACTTTTATAACAATAAATCACTTCACAAACAAAAAAAAATAGGGCTAAAAAGTTATCTTAATAATTGAACATTTTTTACAATTGGTGGATTAGTGAAACAATCTCGAGTGAGTTAAGTGACAGAAGGAACCAATGGGGAAGGTCAACATTATTGCTTTTGATCAGGTTAACTTCCTTCAGAACGAAGTTCCTCCGAATAAGCAATTTTTTTAATAAATGAGCTTTGTGATTTTTTTAGCCTTAAAATGATTGCGTTTAGATTTGAAAAATTTATACAGCCATAGTAAAATTCCATATTGAATAATTGGAATTGTGTTGCTTTGAAAATAATTAATCTATTGCTTTCTTGGTACATAATGTCACAGCTTATAAATCACACCGCATTGCTTCCCCAGCCTTGAAAGTACATATTTAACTTGAGATTTAAACGACAAACGCGAATCAAGTTGTATGCCTAACTATTTACAACAGTTACCTTTTTTAAATCAAATCATCGCTCATTACAAATTGATGTTTCATATTATATTGTTGATAGTTTAGATCCATTTGAAAAATTTGTCAAGGTTCAACACCAATTTATTATCACTTAGCCAGTTACTTATAATATCTAGATCGGCTTGAAATGACTCATTTTGACAATGGACTGCAGTTATATTTGTATCATCTGCAAAGAGAAAGACTTCTGTACATTTACAATGACGGCAGATCATTAATATATGTAAGGAAAAGAAGTGGACCCAAGATCGAACCTTGAGGCATTTTAACCCAGTTTCTTGAAATTTCACCAATTTCCACCAGTTAGTATCGGTCTCATAAATAATTTTCAAACCATTTGAAAATTATTTGACAGACCGATACCAACCGGTGGTAATATCTCGATATAGAAAAAATTTATAGACCAGATTTTTGGTAAAACCTCTTATTCGCTCTAATGTAATATAAACATTATACAATAATATAAGTCTCATTAGTCGAATAAGACTGACAAGTAGGTGAAATGACAACTCCAGTTCATTTTATTCACTGTGCCATTTTTTGATAATTACAAATTAATTTCTGAAAATTAATATTGTTCGATCATTTTTTTTACTCTCCACTGGCGACAGTATTTCGCAATTGGTCATTGCAGCACGAATCTCGACTCAGTGGTGTCAAATGAGATATCTTTTGAAACCATTTGGCGCTGATTTGTTTTGTCTGATTTTGCCTGGAATGAAACACACCCGAATTTAAGGTCGTCCGCCCTATGTGTTTGGAACAAGATTTTGGTAATATGGTGGGTTGATGTCAACAAGAAACTGAATAAAACTGATTTCTGAATAAAGTATTGTTCACGTTTCATATAATTTTGATGAAGCGAAATATTCGACGTGGATCAGTTATGTAAACGTTCATGTAGAGTTCCAAATTTGCAAAAATGCCAATGAAAGTGTTATTTCTACATGGTTTTGGTCAGAACTCACAAGTTTTCCGACAATCTACAGGTGGGTTTCGGAAGTTGATCAAGAAGTTCAAGCTTGAAGTAGTGTTTGTCGACGCTCCTCACGAGATAAATCAACCAGGATTCGAATCGGGGAACCTTGGATGGTACTTCGCCGACAAGACTGACCGTCATTTGGAACCAGGTAGAAGTTAAATCATATTGGACATTAAACATTATATCACTTATAGAATACCTTCAATACCTCTAATTCGCCAAGCAATGCAGCAAAAAAGCAGTGGAAAGATAAGCTAAGTTTCTGCAACAAAGTTTACGAAACAAATTTGTTCACTTGTTACCCATGCGATAAGCAAGGGTATTGCAACTGGGTACTAGACTTTTTTTCCCGTAAACAACTTTGTCCACAGAATTCGCACGTGTTTTACTGTGAAGAATAATATAGTATGTGCACGTTAGGTTTGGTATGGGCCTTGTGAGATTGTTATGAGCTCTTTTTATAGCATTTTGTGCCAATTCCGTCGTCTCATTTTCCGAATTATTTTTTTTCAATTACTTTTTGATGGTTTTTATAAAATTGGTTGAAGTCTCACAGAATGTTTTGAGCAAACCTAGATCACTTCTCCAGACTTTTCCTAATAAAAGTGAAGTTTTTGAAAAAAGAAAAAAAAATTTAAAAAAATATTTTTTCAAATTTTTTTCTTTTTTGGCTTTTTTTTTCGCTTTGCAAAGTATATTTAGTTTTAACCTTAACGCTTTCGTTTCTTCAATCAGTTGTCTTAGCCAGATTCTTTCGGGTTTAGTTAATTGTTTTTGTTTTTCGCAATTTTTTTTGTTTATTTTTGTTAAACTAATTTTCTTAACCAACTTAACGAAACACATTTCTGAACTTGTTACCCTTGCGATAAGCAAGGGTATTGCAACCAGTTACTATACTTATTTTCGCGTAAACAAATTTCTCCACAGAATTCGCACGTGTTTTCATATGTGTTTTACTTTAAAGGATAATGCAGTATGTGCATGTTAGGTTAACTATGGACCTTTTGTGATTGTTCTGAGTTCTATTTATAGTACTTTTGTGCCAGAAAATTTTAGTAGTTTTCCGGCACTTGAGTGTCGACTTTAAATCCGTCGGCTCATTTTCGGAATGAAGTTTTTAAAATGAACAAAAAAATTTGTTTTTGAATTTTTTTTCAAAATGTTTTTTTTTCGGCTTTCTTTTCGGTTTGCGAAATAATTTAGGTTTTAACCTTTTAACGCTGTTGTTTGTTCAATCAGCTGTTTTCGTCAGATTTTTTCTGGTGTAGGTACACTTGTGTTTGTGTGTTTCGCAATTCTTTTGTTATTTTTCTTCTAAGATTTTCTACAACAATTGAAAATATGTTCTCATTGCTTTTTAACCCATATTGTTTTGATAAGCTAATTTACTGACACAATGAATGCAAAACCAATTTGGGAACTTGTTAGCCTTGCGATAAGCAAGGGTATTGCAACCGGGTTTCAGACTTTTTTTCCCGTAAACAGCTTTGTCCACAGAATTTGCACGTTTTTTTGCCACATGATTTAATTTAAAGGATAATGTAGTGTGTGCATGTTAGGTTAAGTATAGGCCTTGTGTGATTGTTCTGAGATTTTTTATAGTACTTTAGTGCCAAAAAATTTCGGTTTTTTTGCGGCACGTGAAGGTCGGCTTTAATTCCGTCGCCTCATTTTTTGAATGATTTTTTCAATCAGTTTTGTTGGTTCTAATAAGAATGTTTGAAGTCTCTCAGAGTGTTTTGGACACATCCAGATCACTTTCCCAGACCTTTCGTACTAGAAAAGAAATTTTTTAAAAAAATGAAAAAAAGTTTTTTTTTGAATTTTTTTCGGCTTTCTTTTCGGTTTGCGAAATAATTTAGGTTTTAACCTTTAACGCTGTTGTTTGTTCAATCAGCTGTTTTCATCAGATTTTTCTGGTGTAGGTACACTTGTGTTTGTGTGTTTCGCAATTATTTTATCATTTATCTTCTAAGATTTTCTACAACAATTCAAAATATGTTCTCATTGCTTTTTAACCCATATTGTTTTGATAAGCTAATTTACTAACACAATGAATGCAAAACAAATTTGGGAACTTGTTAGCCTTGCGATACGCAAGTTTTAATAAGAATGTTTGAAGTCTCACAGAGTGTTCAGGACACATCTAGATCATTTCGCCAGACCTTTCCTAATAAAACAAAAAGTTTTTTGAAAATGAAAAAAAAAAGAATTTTTTCAAGTGTTTTTTGGCTTAGTTTTTGGTGTGCAAATTAATTTTGGTTAAAACCTTTATTGCTTTTGTTTGTTCAATCAGCTGTTTTCATCAGATTTTTTCTAGTGTAGCTATTTAAGTTTGTGTTTCGCAAGTTTTTTGTTCGTTTTTCTGTTAAGCTTTTCTACTATTGAAAATGTTCTCATTGTTTTTACGCCCATATTGTTTTGAAATGCAGCTGTTTCAATTAAAAAAACGTGAACCAAGCAAGCCTGAATTGCCAGCGAATCAGAAATAATTAAATTAAAGTTTTGATTATTCATTTTAAATTTGCTAGTCGAATTTATCGTTTTGCAAAGTCAATTTGAGTTGCTGTCTGCTAATGTTTTGTTCCACCAATTTTTCGTAGTTTCATTGTATTAGGATGGTTAAAACAGGCCCCAAGCAAGCTTGAATTGCTATCAAATCAGAATTTTTCAATATAAAAATTTTTGTTGATTTATATCAGAATTGCTTGATGAACTTATCTTTTTTTTCTTTTTTTTTGTTCGCTAATTAGGAAATTGTGTCAATTTTTTGTCACGTTTAGTTAAATTTGATCTGTTTTTGGGCTACATATTTCTAAAAATAGTTCAACGGCTTATGCTTGTTTATTTCTCGTTTTATTTTTTGGTAAACCGTTTTTTCAGTCAACTTGTTGCTCTTTGATCGGATTTTTTTGGAAATGAAAATTGGCGTCTTTTTGGCTTCATAGCTGTTCAAAATCATTTGATTTTTTGAATAAACAGTGTCTGATTTGTGTTTTTTTTTGTTTCATTCGTTTTTTGAATTTATTTTTCGAACTCATAAAAAATATGTTTTAAGTTTTTGAATGATTCTGGAATTGATTTTAGAAAATTTTTGCGAAATTTCTCATTGTTAGTAGTGTTTTTTTAGAATCGTTTTTATTTTTTTCAGATCACATTTGTTGTGTTTCTAATCTTATTTGTTTAGGTTTCTGAAAAATTGATATTGTTGTTTGTTAGTTATGTGTCTTTCATTTGCTAATTTAAAAAGTAAATCAGAGTTAGTGGTTTTTGGTTCTTTCATCATTGCAGTTTGTTTACCAATGCATTTTACCCATGGTTCGATCGCGTGTCTTCGGAATACTTCGATGCGTAGCAATCATGTTTAAAAAGTATGTTGTGGGTACGCTGATTTTGTTGCTTATATAATTTTTAAAATGTTTTCGCAACATTTTTGTTATCTGATTTTTGGATAATTTTTTGCTTGAGTTATTATTGTTGCATCGCAAGTGGTGCGAAGCTCTGCTTCGCCTCTGTGTTTACAGTTCGACGGCAAATTTTTTAAAGTAAATTGTAGGTATGATAAAGTTTGCTTGAGGCAGCTTTTCAATCAGTTTAATCTGAGGCTCTTGGGCAGGTGGCGTGGAAGAAAGTTTGGATCACCTGGAAAAATTGATCAAAGAAAACAATCCCGATGGTATTGTCGGCTTCTCACAAGGCGCTTCAATTTTCTGCATGCTCTGTGCCTCCAGAGGAGAAGCTCCAAAATGCATCAAGTTTGCAATGTTGTTTGGATGTCCAATGCTGAATCGCGTGAAAGAGAAACAAGAAACTTTGAGGGAAATCCAGCTGCCAATTTTGTTTGTTTCTGGTGTAGAAGATAAGGTTATAGATTGGCAGGAAGGAGAACAATTGAGTCTGATATTCAAAAATGCTACCTTTTTCCAACACGACGGAGGACATCATGTTCCAGGTGGCGGATCTTTCAGAACTCTGTACAATGATTTCTTATCTTCAGTCATTGTTTCAGACAATCCTAAATCAAACGTTGAAATAAATGAGTGAAGCAATTGGAACTCTTCTTATATAATAATCGAATGACAAAAAAATTAATGCCATATTTTAGCTGCCATAAGGCGCAATGCAATGATTAAAGCGATCATTGAGCTCAACATTTAAGAAAATATTTTGAATCTAAAATTTTCTAGAACTATTCAGTAAAGATCAAATGACACTCTAGATTTGTTAAACCAGCTGTAATAGTAGAATTCTTTTTGAAAGAAGTCCGAAACTCTTCTTAGCTGGAATATTACAGAATCCTTCTTAAAAGAAATCCGAAATTCTTTTAAACAAGATGAACTCGATTTAACTTCAAGAATAGGAGTACCTGCCCAATTTTTATAAACATTTTCGCGTTTACAGAATGTTTTATGAATTAACTAGAAATATTTCGAAATTTCTATGAGTGAGTAGCTTGCTTGGGAAAACTAACTTTTCGCAATACGATGGGGTGAATGATTTAACTTGAAATATTTCAAAGTTTCTTCGCTTGAATAGCTTGCTCAGAAATTTTTTTTTTTTCGCAAGCCTATTTGGTTCATTAAATTATTTGGAATCTTCCACAGCTGATTAACTTGCTTAACAAACACTTCAATTTTTTTCAACGGACTTCATGAAACACTAAAAAAATTTCGCAGTTTCATAGCTTGATAATTTTGCTTACATTACTTAAAATGATAAGCTTGCTTAAAGAAAACTTGAACTTTCTGCGATCCCATGTGGTCTATGGAATAACTTGAAATATTTTAATTTTTCATCGCTTAAATGGCTTCAATGGAAAACGTCAAATTTTTTGCCATCCGATTTGCTCTAAAATAACTTCAAATTTTTAAACACTTCAAGTTTTAACGCTTGAATAGCTTGCTAGGAAAAATTTTAACAAATCACAGATAGAGAAACTCAGTTTCATCACCGACCGATAGACTAACTTGGAGTATTAAGGTTTCTTAGCTTGAAAAAGTGCTTTAGAAAATTATGAAATTTTGCGAACCAATTCGCTCCTCGAAAACATTCGAAACGTTTCAAACTTTCACAGCTTGCATAGCTTGCTAAGAAAAACTTTTTGTCATCCGATTGGTTTAGTGAACTAACTTGAAATATTTCAAAATTTCATTACTTGAATAGCTTGCTTAATAAAAAACGTATTGCGTACCGATTCAGTCTATGAAGGAATTTACAAAATTATTTTAATATGTTATGGCGTCAATGATTGCAAAAGTAAACTTGCTTTTTTTCGCCATTCGATTCGTTTCAAGAAATAATTTGACATCTTTTAAAGTTTGATGGCTGGCTTAAGAAAACTTGAGTTTTTCTTGAACCGATTTGGTCTTAAAGTAACTTGAAATTCTTCAAAGTTTCCTAACTTGAATAGCTTGCTTAGTTTTTTTCCATCCGATTCGCTTCATGAAATAAATTGAAAGAATTTAAAGTTGCATTGCGTGCTTATAAAAACTAAAACTTTTCGTGAACCAAGTTGGCCTGAAATAACTTGATTCATTTCAAAATTTTTTAGCTGGATTAACTTGATGAAGAAAAACAAGGTTTTTCTGGGAACCAATTGGCTCCATGAATTGATTTGAATCTTTTCAAAATTTCATCGCTTGAATATCTGGCTAAGAAAATGTTTAATTTCGAAATCCTGTTTGCTTCATAAATTAACGTTATTTTTTTTAGATTAACTTCATAGATTAAGTTTCATAGCTTGAATACCCTGCTTAGAATAACGTGATTTTTTTTTGCGGACCGAATCGCTCTATTAATTATCTTGAAGTATTTCAAAGTGTTATCGTGAATGGTTTCAATAGAAAAACTTAAATATTTTGCCATCTGTTTCGTTTCAAGAAATAACTTGACAGATTTTAAAGCTTCATAGCTGGCTTAGAAGAACTGGAACTTTTTTCGAACCGATTTGGCCTTTTAAATAACTTGAAATATTGCAAAGTTTCCTTGCTTAAACAACTTGCTTATGAAAAACTTCATTTTTTCGCGGACTAATGGTTTCATACAATAACCTGAAATAATTCAAAGGTTCTTAGCTGTTGTAGCTTGCTTAGAAAAACTTGAGATTTTCGCCATCAGATTTGTTTCATGAAATAACTTAAAAGATTTCAAAGTTATACGACTTGCTTAAAAAACTTAAACTGGTTTCAAATAACTTGATTTATGACATGTTTTATGACTTCCTTATAAAAACTTATAATATTTTCGTGCACTTATTTGGTTTGAAATAACTTGATTTATTTCCAAATTTCTCAGCTTGATGAACTTGCTGAAGAAAAACAAAAATTTTCTGCGAACCAATTCGCTCCATGAAAACATTTGAAAATTTCCAAATTTTTATCCCTTGAAAAGCTGGCTATAAAAACTTAATTTTTTTTTGAAAATCAAGTTTTGTTAAAATCCGATTTGCTTGATGAAATAACTTTCAAAATTACATAGCTTGAATAGCTTGCTAGAAACACTTCTCGGAAATACAATTCGCGGAAATCCGAATAGCGTGTTATTTTCGCGGAAATCCGATTCGCTTCATGCAATAACTTGAAATAATCTAAAGTTAATTAGCTGTAGTAGCTTGCTCGGAAATTTTTTAAAAGGTTTTGGCCATCCGATTTGCTTTCATGAAATCATCTGAAATATTTCAAAATTTCATCGCTTGAATAGCTTGTTTAGTAAAACTTAACTTGTAGCATACCGATTCGATCTATGAAATGTAAAATTTTTCAAACCGATTGACAATATGGCTCAACTTGATTAGAAAATTAATCATATTTTTGCGAGTCGATTGATCATTGAACGGAGACACGCTTGCTAGTGTTAGTTAATTCAAGGGTGGTATACTACCATTAGTTTTGGTTGTGATTTTTGGAAATATCTTATTTTTTACATGTACTGTTTTACGAGGAGTCGATATGTTTTGGTTTCGCCGAAGTTTGCTCGCCGGGTTGAGTTTTATTCCAATCGCCAACTTTTTCCAAATAGCCGTTTTCAAAATGTAAACCACCATCAATTTTTAAAATAGCAAACTCATTTATACACTATGGCTTTTACCTCTCTAAGGAATTTATTGACCGTTCTAGCCTTGGCCTTTTTTCCAATTTCAATAGGTTTCTCCAACTTGATCCCCTTCATAGTAAAATTGAAGGCATTGTGCTCTCAATTGATTTTACTGATCGCTATCGATTCGTGCTAAAAACGGAATGTTTTAACCTTAAACGTTTTTATAACACGCGTAACCTGTAGCTTAATGCGATCCAAACTGATTTGAGGCAAGTCATTGGTTCTATTGTTAGGATACACGACGTTAAGTACATTCCTTTGTAGTTTACATCATTTTTTGGGGGATAAATTGACGGAAAAAAAACGAACAACAAAAATTTTTTTTATTATTATTTCGTCAATACCTCAACCACAAAGTTTTTAAATAGCCTTAAAACGCAGTAGGAACACGCAGGGCTGCGCTCTGATATACAAGCAGTCTTGTTTGTTCTTCGGCTTGTTATTACACTGGGAACTTTAGCGAGCGTAGTGTGTTAGTATGAAACTACTTTTTGTTCCAACCCAACTCGCAAATAAAAGTGCTAATGTGGTGGCATTTTTGCTATAATCACGATCTGTAGCATAGGAAATTTCATAGCTTCTTCTCTGTGCTTTAGTTGTGGCTAGTGTTCGTTGATAATTAAACGTCCGTGCGTAGTGGGCAGGACGTTAGACTGTTAATCACGAGGTCACTGGAATCAGTCGCGTTGCTAAAGTTTTGCTAATTGAGGCTTATTTCTGCTTTTTCTTATTTCTTTTTATAGAGCTGCTTTTTTGTTATTTTCTCGCTGGTGTTTGCGAAGCTCAGCTTCGCTTCTGGGTAGCATAATTCTTCCAAATATTCGTAAAATGGGAAAGAGCTATTGCTTTCAATAGGTATTCAGATGCCTTAAGTTCTTGTTTAAAAGTTTATGCTTCTCAGAGTATATTGTCTATACGTTTCCGTTTTTCAGACTAATTTACTGAAGGGAATTCAATGTTTACCTGCAGTGGACTCCCAATTTGATTCACTATTGTAATATCATACTTTTTAAACATACGGTATTGGAATTTTCTAGCGTATCCTTGAAGTTTTCTTCTCGATCATTTCAATAATTTGGTCATAGCGTTCTGTGCTACATGTCTAGCAACTCGCAATTCCTGTTGTAGAGTATTTTTAGAAGAGTATTTGTGAGACATTGAAGAGTATTTTGATCCACACATATCTATATACAACAAAAAGACCTTCAGTGATGAGTGATGTATATTGATACTCTTTCAGCCGTGATTTGGGCTGTATTGAAAAATTTCATATCAAAGTTTGACTGTTTGAAACAATGGTCTGGATATTTTTGATTTTGTCGTAGTGTTTTGTATCTGTTCATGATACATGTCATTTGTTGTTCCGACTTTCGATACGAAAGTAACGGAATATTTGTGCTCGGGGTGGGTTTTTTTTTCTTCAGACAAATTTCGACTTTTTAACTAGCCATTTTTGACGGAATTTTTTTGTATCATTCAGAAGGTATTGTTGTCCTGAGCTTAAATATGAAAAGATATTTCACCTGTGATCATTTTTCGTAAAGTTATGGGGGTTTAAAGATTGCCATTTTGGCTAATTTGGGACAATTAACGCGCGATGTATTTCGCGCTATTAACGCGTAAGAGGAGAGTTAATCCGTCTTAGAAATCGTTCCAAATTGGTTTACCGAAGCTTATTTGCCATAATTGATTTGTTACAAGTAGCGAAATCTATCCTTTTGTACTTTATATGGCGTGTGGGGGGATGGTTTTCATAAAAATTTTCAAATTTTAGAAAAAAAAATTTCATTTTGTTTTATTACTTTTAATTTTCTAATGTTATTACTGCTCCATAAACCTTAATAGGCAGTCGGAACATTCAGGGCTTCGCCCTGATACGAGCAGTCTTGTTGTGTTTTATGATCCGCAAGTTGAGACGAAGAACGATACTGGTATATAAAATTTTGAATTGCCCGAAGCTCATAAGCAACCGCCAGCTGTCCCTTGCAGAAAAAAAAGATCATTTTCAAAATTTGTATCAGATTTCGAAATAGTAGGTTTTATCGGAG